CTCGGTAAATACAAAAGACAGGAAGTTGAAATTTTAGGGACGTGTCTTCTTCCCACGTGCAACCCTGCTGGTTTAAATTCAGTCTCCACTTATTGCTGGATACTAATTATGACCCCGTGAAAGTTTTCGTGGGAAAAATATTTGTTTCGGGAACCAAAAAAGTTAGGAAGCTGAAATTTTGGGACAGTTTTCCCCGCACACATGGGACCTCATATATTCAGTTTTCAAGTGCGCCTGGATATCTAGTACAGCCTCATGAAAGTTCTTGCGAGAAGCCAGAGGACCTAGGAGGGTAAGACTTCAGGAATATGTTTTCTGCCTATTCAAGGATTTCGTAGGCTCAGACTTAGCTCCTGTTTTTGCCTAAGGCTCACGTATGGTCATGAGAAATTTGTGGTGCAAAAGCCATTAACTTGGAAGCCAGAAAACTTGGAGGCTTAAATTTTGCAAGAATGTTCTTCGTCCATCTGAGATTCAAATTATCTCAAATCCGGCTTTCACGTGTGCTAAGATTTCGCATACCGGCACTTGGAATTTTCAGTGGAGGATTTCGTAGTTAAAGAACCAGGCAATATACCGACTGCTCTTGCGGGTACCAAAATGTAAAACAGTGTAAATTCTTAACAACAATTTTCCGCTGAACAGAAATGCGCAAAACGCTTGAATGCACCGGCTGCTTTGGGGTGCGCCGCTATTTATTTCACTGGATCCCAGCCTGCATGTAACGTTACCTCCGGTCTGCAATATATTGCAACCGCTGTACTGTCGGATCCTGTTTATGGCGATGGAATTTTAGGACACATTGATCTAGATGTATTATGATTGTCTTATGCCCGAAATTATGATTCCCAGATTGTCGGATCTATTATAATTGCCCGAAATACATTTGTTATGGAGAGTGCAGTAAAATAAACCTTTTTGCGTAGAACGTTATTCCGGCATCCATTATCAGTGAGTCTACCAAAAACCACTGAAACGGACCAAACCTTCCGTATACAAGTGCGATGTGTGCAACATTCTTGACTTGGTTCCATAAGCTCCAAGGCTATTTGAGAAAATCTCATATTTCATCTCCTCTTCGTATTTTCTAACATCTGGAGGCCCATATCAGTAGTGCGGGCGATAAAGGTGTTCCTTTGTGCATAATAAATGCTTACGTCATGGGTACCACCATAGCTGGTCACGTAATTTTATCAACAGCCTTTTGTTAAGCTCAAAAAAGTTCAGCAATTTCTGACTCGACAAACCTGTGTATTTCAACTTCCAGGAACTGAAATGTCTGATGAAGAGAAGGCTGAGCTCGCTGCAGAGCTTTAATCGGACTAAAACCGCTTCTCAGTGCAGATCAGATTGTCCCTCCTTTCGTTACATACAATTTGCAGCCACTGTGATCCAAATGTATCTACTGCCTGTGTGAAAATCGTTGTAACAGTTATTTCTCTTAATAGTAAAAGTCCATTGCTTCTGACGTCAGTCAACATGGCAGCCACTGCGGCACGTATCCAAAGTTCATTTGCCACACACTCGGAAAAATGTTGATATGCATCTTTGAAAATGCCAGACAGGTCGGAAAGGCATTTACAGTGTCGAAACAAATCCAGCGAGTCACTAAACAAAATCAGCCAACATACGAGATGCCAAACAAATATGGCTGTATGGCTAAGATGTCAGAAATCAAACGGCTGTGAACAATATGTGTAGTGGCGGATAAATGTGCTGGATGAAAAACAATTATTATTTACATGTAAGATGGTAAATAAACCCGGTTAAAGTAGTGACATCTGGGGTCCAAAATTTTCTTGCTAACAAAAATCACCTCTAACGGTCAAAAACAGTGTGGAAATACCCATATGAATATTTTTTCGAAAAGTGTATGCCTCTATCAATTTACCATCAAACGACAGACTGACTGTACTGCTGATGGAGTCGAAGTCACCTTCCCTGTCTCAGCGTTAACTGTTTATAAGAGGCGAAGACACTCGGAAAAAGATCGGGTTGTACCAGTGCCAAGAGGAACAATGCTTTTGATGGACCCCTTGTTCGAGGGTTGTCCGGAAGTGAGTCGACGACTGTTTTGCCGTCGTGGTATGTGCCTCTGTCAACTTACCATCAAACGACAGACTGACTGTACTGCTGACGGAGTCGAAGTCCCGACCTTCTGCACGAGTGCAGCGCTACTACTGCTTTGCCATGCAGGCTAGTGAGAGATAAGGAACGCATAAATATAGCCAACACGTATAACACTGAGTTGACGTGCAGTTTAAGCTCCTAAAGAAATGGCTTTGAAAGTTAGGATGTGATTAAGCTGATGGTCTTACTTGCCTTATAACGCTGCGAAACATTATCAATTAAGACTGTTGTTAAGTCCCAAGCGAATGAGACGTGTGTAACACGTGGTTGGTCTATGATACGCGTAACAAACGTAACCATAACTTTTATCTTCATTGATCAGAGAAAAGCAATTTTTTTTCGGAACAAATCCACCGCTAATGAAAGAAACTGATTTTATTCGACAACTGGCTTCGAGCGGCCGATGCTTTATTCACTTTGAAGCAGGAGAATGAACAGTGCGAAAAAAATGCTACGCTTTCTTTTGGATTTTGCCAAGGCCAACATCCTTTTATAGATCCAGTTCGCTATTTAACTACCTATGGTAGAGGAACTGCAACAGTCTGAACTATCTCTTGCTATGCAAAACCAGTGCTGTGGCATTGCTATGCATGCATAAGCAGTGAAATACCCCTTTAGATAAAAAAAATTAGGTTCCAGAGGAAAAGAAATATTTTGAGCATCTCTATCAGCATCCAATGTTCCATTAAACGCCAAAAAGTAGAATTTTCGGAAGCATTTCCAAGTGTTCCTCCACAATTGCATTTCGACATGCCGAGATTACTCGACTGGACGGTGCGCCAACTGTAAAAGAAGATAGCTTTTTTCCTGTTTTTTGTTTAGATTCAGGCCATAACTTTCAATATTTTTTGAAGATGCCTGCATATGAAAGTCGAAATTTTTTGAAATTTGTTTCTTTCCTGTCCGTCTTATCCATGGCAAACGGCGGTCAACATTTTCCAGCACCACCATTTTGAATCATTGGTGACGCGCACTGGGCGGGCCCGTGCGATCATACGTTTTTGCAGTATTTCGTGCTGTAATGAGGTCGCTCCAAAATCTGGTAGCTAGGATTTGCGACATACTGATCCCTGATGTACGGGAAGTCAATTATCTACGTGGTACTTGGAGAGGGAAAAATCCGCTAAAATTTCAGCTTTCAAACTTCTCCCGTTCTAGAGTTAGCAATTTTCCTGCCAAAAAATTTCATGGGTTCGTACATGAGAACTACACGTATGTGGGAGCTGAATTTGATATCTTTAAATTTTACGGGGCCTGGGAACACATCCTGAAAATTTCAGCCTCGTAGCTTTCCTGGCTCTCGAGTTAGCCACTTTCCCGCCAAAAAATTCCACGGGACCTCACGTGTGAACTACGCGTGCTTGGGAGCTGAATTCGATGATATTAATTTGTACAAGTGATGGGAACAATCCCTGAAAATTTCAGCCTCCAACGTCCCTGGCTCCCAAATTAGCGATTTTCGCGCCAGGAATCCTCACGGGGCCATACGCAAGTGCCACGCATACCTGGGGGCTGAATTTGAAATCTTTGAGTTCCATATGCGCGGGGAACACAACCTTTCTAGCTTTTCTTGTTCCTGAGTTAGCGGCTTTCCCGCCAAAACCTTGACCCTCTCGTACGCGGGGTTCAGACTTGCGTAAAGGTTGGTACCTCGGTCCCTGGGGTGGCACTTGGCTGGGAAATTGGCGCCAGAGCTTGCTTGGGTGCCGAGTTGAAATATCCGAACACACACACACACACACACACGCACACACATACACACACACACACACACAACGGGGTCGTCGCAATATGCGTTTTCACATTTGTACATATGAAAAAACGCATAAAAAGTACAACAACAATTCCATCTACCATCTATTCGAACGCTCAAGTTCGACGCAATCTTGTGATCTCGGTGCACGTTTTCATGGGGAAACCGAAAGTGAATGTGCGCAAACACAAGCAAAAGGTGACAGTATTTCGATGTGAAACCTAAACTGTACCTGTCGCTGGAATTCGAAGCCAAGGCTTAGTTTGTTTCGAAATTATGACATCAACGGCTATCCGGAA